GGAAATACCAGTCCTCAGAAAGGGGCATCTGACATGTAAAGTGGAGGGTCAGTGTGTTCATCTGGGTAGACTAGAGAAACAAATTCATAGGTACCTATGTGTGTATAGGAAAGGGTGATTGTACATTAAGAAAACATCCCTGCCCAGTCCAGATCAAGTCCATAATTCTGATATTAGCCCACATGTCCAGTATCAGTCTGTAAATTCCTCTTCAGACTCACGCAACACATGCAATGACCCCAAGTGCAGGAAGATCACAGGCCAGTGGATAGAAAGTCTTGTGGATCCAGGGGTGGTAGAAGCATCTTAGCGCTGGCGTGGGTCTCCATGTGGCACATCCAGCTCCAAGACTCTGTCTGCCATCAGCATAGTTCCATGTGGCTTGTCATCCGGAATGTCTCAAAGGGAGTGAACATATGTCCCACCTCCAGCGACATATTTATCTCCTTAGTGCCTCCTAATGAGGTCATCAAGCTGAGACCTGATTGACAGGCGAGACTCCACCCATTTGCAATGGCAAGGGATTATATAACTACCACAATCAGAAAAAGAAAAAAAAAAGAGGAAAACTGTCAAGGAACTGGACTGAAACACTGGCTACAACAATGGACTTAAACATAAGAATGATTTTGGAGTTGGTACAGGACCAGGCAGTGCTTCATTTCACCAGGCAGTTGTTCATAAATTCGCTATGATTTATAATGGACTCTATAGCACCTAACATATCTAACTTTAGCAAAATATTACTCTTTAATGTAATTGTGTTGGATTCTGACATGTGAGTTTTGGAATCAAAAGGATTTAGGCACTTGTGCTTAAGAGATAGACCTTTAAAAAAGTTTTGGCACTTTGATCTATAAAGCAGGATTAATATCAGTACCTTATAAGGTTATTGAGAACATTAAATGAGATCATAGCTGTATAGCACTAGCAGAGTGCCTAGGTCTTGGTGTGCTAGTCTGGGTAGACTAGAGAAACAAATTCATAGACACTCATATTCTTTGATGTGAAGAATCTTCATGCCAGTTGGAATCTTGTGTCTGCATCCATAAGCCAAGTCAAATCAGGACAGGCCATCCATAAAGTCTGCAGCAATGTTCACCAGTTCACCGGCTGAAAATTCTTCTCTTCATCTGGTCGGGTTCTTGTCAGCTCAATGTGGGCTGCCTCACTTAGCCTCACCATGGTGTTCATTGTTCACCTCACCTTTAGACCATGGCCCCATCACAAATTCTCAACAACCCTAGCCTCCTTGGGCTAAGCCATGAACTTCAGACCAATCAATCCTCTATCTTCTCCTCTAATTCCTGTAAACCAGGTCCATGGGTGTCAGTGGCCAGACTCAACCCGTCTCTTTATTGCTGCATTTCTCCCACTTCCACTCAACAAGTGGATCCAGGTGGTCACCTAAGCAAGCATTTCAGCCTGCCCACAGGTTACCTTTAACATTCAGTCCTAGAGAGGAGTTTTCTTCGTGGTTCCAGATTTTTTCCAGCTTCTGTCAAAAATCATTGTTCAAACCTCAAAAATCCAAAGAGTTCCTTTTTTTTTCAATCTGTCAACCATCCCCTAGGCAGTTCTCTTGGAATGCAGATATCCTGAGTACTTCAAAGCACTGGGTGGGCCTTATCTTTTCAGAGCCTTCCTTGCAGGCGTGTCCTAACCCATTCAAAAAT